TTTTAACGAAAAATCATGATACGGAATATTGAAAATGCAATATAAAAACAAGTGCTATTCATGAACCGACATAAAAAATCATTCTCATATATTGGTCAGTTCTTGGACTCTTGGAGTTTCGAACGAAATCATATTCATCGAATAGTAAAGACAAATAGCCTAAAGTTTGAATATGCAGAGTCGCGTAATTGAATGAATCTACTCAATTCTCATAATAACTGTCTGTCTGCACGTCCGTCTGGATCGATTACTATTGATAACAGAAGTTGACTAATGTTTAACTACGGCCGTATTACTCCATGTTCATGAAATATTATCTTGGAGGTCATTTAATTTCCCGTTTTCATATTAAAGTTCTTCTTAAGAATAAGAGTAGAAGTTAAACAATTATTCATTATTTACCAAACTTAGCGCCATAAAATTCCAATCAAACGATATCTTCATCTCAATTTAAGGACACTTAATCTAAAGGTTCAATTCGTCAAGCGACGCCCATGTTCCATCTCCATCAAGCTAATCGGAGTAATAAATACTGACTTCGGATACAGCTGAATCGAGTGAGTTAAGCCGAATTACCCACTCATGGCATCTGTTAGCATAGCCAAATTTTATTACTCTAGTTTCGTTCAATAGTGCCATCAACCATTTAGGACTTACACATCTAGGAGGACTGAGTTATGAGTTAGGTTTAGTAGTTGAAACAAATGAAAAGGTGTAAACAGTAAATGAACCCGCCAATCACCTAGTTTTCAGTGTCCGATATATTTTATAAACTTTTTATTATTTATTTACCAATCTATTGTACACCTGAGCTCCTAAATACCAATACTATTTATTTTGTTTTCGATTTTAATTGTGTGTAGTTTTCACTTAATTTTTTTTCCGGGGCATGTTTTAAACCTTTTCCTAAATTTGTTTTGCAATTTATGTTAAAGTGGAAATAATTTTTCGAATTAATTTGCATATCTTTTATTCTTTTATCAGTCTGAAGTTTCATAGGACTATTTCTTTCATAATCCCATAAAATTTTAGAAGGTTTTTTAATATTTGTCTCATATGCAGATTGTATTCATATTCCAATTAGTTGTTTGAAACAGACTTATACTAAAAATCAAATAATATCTATAAATTTGATAATGTATGAACATTCTATAATAAATCTAAAAAAAATTGTGAAAAAAAAAACATTTATTCAATTTTGAAATATGTATTTTTTTGATCATATTATTTATCTTGAAATTGAATCAGTTTTTAAAAATCCGATCAAATTTCAAGTTAATGGCGCGTTATATCGCCTTATAGCTTTAATTTTTCAAAGTCCTTTGTATACATTTTAAATACAAGGGTTCAAGGATAGACCCTTGTCGTTCACAAGACGTGACGTTGGTTGGTTGATCTTTAATTTTATCCATTGTCCCTGTTTGCTGTCTATTCAATAAATAGGAGTGAAACATCTTATATGGTTGGCAAAAGAAATCCAATACAAAATATTTAATACCCAAATTTCATTTTACTTCAGTAACAAAATCGTAAGTTAATTAGGTCGATAACCTTTTTGTTTCGTATAAGAATGTTGTTGATGAATGTTAGCATTAAAAAATAAATAATAATATAATTAATTATTCAATTAGAAACTTAAGTATTCTTTTTAATATGTATGTACATATAATTCTTCGTAGCATTGTTTTATTTGTTACTTGTCGGTAAATTCACAATATATTTAAAAAGCAAAATTACTATTATAATAATTTTCTAATATATAATTTCCATCGTTTTATAGATAAAGATACTTCAATAACTCAATATTATTGGTTTTTTTGGAACGAAGACTTCATTACTGCGTTTAAAAAATATTTTTTCTCAATTTACTGACTGGAAATCTATTTGATCCCAAATTCTTTTTGAGTGTTTAAGGAATTTCGTCAAGATCGTAATGTGACCGCCGTTTTTTGCTTCAAGTTATTTCTGTATAAATTCCATCTCTATTATATATAATCTGTCATTAATATATTCCATTAGACAAAAGTCAAATAATAAGTATTATATATTGTTGCTTAATAATGTTTAGATTTAAAAACAAAAAATACAGTGACCATTCTTTCAAGCTAATAATATGTAACTTTAGTGTAATGTTATTCATTTTTCTTTAATATAAAAATCTATTGCTTGAGATCCTACATTAGGATATCACTTGTGGGAAAGGTAAGTTGCTATCAGATTAAGTTGAATATTAATCATTGAGAAATATATATTTTACAAGAATTTATTCATTCGTTGCTATTTAATATTATTCAATTATATACACTAAATTTACTGTTTTAAACCAATTAAGTATACGCATCCATTATATATCTATTTCCCTTCAATCCCTCCACATGGAGGAGAACAAATTAACCTATTTTTATAATTATATTATTTATTTAAAAGTAGTCGATCAGCAATTAAACATTCATTATTCAGATACGATTTTTATCTGTCGTCTATCGCATTAAAGGAACCCTCACGTCTCGCAACCGATTTGAAAGAGGATCCCAATGATTAACAGCCTCCGTAGACGTCCACTTGGGAAGCCATTAAAGAACTTGTCCTCAGTTTTATAATCATATTAAGTTCCAAGAATGATTATTTGATTTACACGTGTACTACTTTCAGGTGCTATATTTAGTTCACATTTTTGTACACAAAAGCAAATATGTATATAGTTTTATGGCAATAATATGGCAATCAAATCTATTCTATATTGATTATAGATTAACACACAAAAATTAATATATATTAAAGTGACAAATTTCTATAGAGTAATTTATAATGGCATCTTTAAGTATTATCATGCAAAAATGTTATATGAGTGCTAGTTAAACAATATTAGTCTGAAACATAAGTCTCGCTATAGACCTATCCCGCATCACGAACGTTAATTATCGTGACGACTGATTAGCTCGTTGTTTAACCAGTTGAAGACATCAATTAAACTGACTAAGAACCTGAGAATTCACCACTTAACGAATCAGCTAGATAAATAATGCTTTTTGTTCGTAATTTTCGATTATTAAACCGCATCCTATATGTTTTTGTCATTGTTTTTCAATCACGTTAAAATATTTGGCATTAATTCCAGAATACTTTATGTACATTTTTTTACAGAATAGAAAACGAAACTAGGAAAATAAATGGGAATAAAAAGTTCATTAACTTCAATTAATTCATATCAGTTAAATAATAAGTCATACTGTTTAATTAACGCTTACTTTTATAACTGTGAAAGTAATAAAGAGCCATTTAAGATATCATTTAGAACGTCTTATATTATTTATATTACCGAGTCACGCATGATAACTTCATAGGACAATATATTTTTTAAATGACAACATTACATATTAATTTTCAAATAAAAAGTCCAAACTGCCGTGACTTTAGCAGTTAGCTTGTGTCTATTTCGAAAGTTTATTGCTTTGAGAACAATTCGATTTATAGCGATACTTTGACCCATTCGTGGTTAGAGAACATAACTTCATATTAAATTTCAGTTTAGAAATTACTTTGTTTTGTTAGTCCTTATTGAATATATTTTTTTACGTAGTTTCAAGGTTCGCGGTTAAAAGTTTCGACCCCCTTTCATGGCTTCCAACGGAACATGAATAAGAAGTGCTTGTAACCGGTGATTTAAATGTTCGATGATAATATAAAGAGAGTTTTATCACAAAAGACATTCTGTTCCTTATAAGCTGTATACTAGTTCGATGTAATCAATACACTATCTCCAATACTATTACAGTATGGAGGTGTCAAATTGTATTTATTGCTTAATGATGCATCATCGTAATCCAGCCTTCAGTCTGCGGGATTAATTTGATCGTGATTCAATGTGACACGGCCTTGATTAGCGAACACATTGATTGTTATGTCAATATAATATATTTATTAAATTTAATTAATAAGTTCTAGTCATGTTATTGCGCACTTCCAAAAACTTTGTATAACATTTAGGCAATAATTAATTATAATTAATCTTGTTGATAATAATTAATTATAATAATCTTAATAGTTGAGATGTTCAGCGGTAATCATCCCTCAAAGTTATAGTAACTTTAATTAAAGTCCAAAAACATCCTGACAATTTTTTCGCAGTATTTGTGTTATTTAATGAAAATTAAACTTCTAAAGACTCATTTCACAAAATTCCGTGCAAATTAATGTTAACAGTTAAAGTTGGTATAATATTTTTTTTATACAACCCTAGATAATTAAAGAGCTGACTTGTTTACCGCAACTCTGGATCTAATTCATGAAGAACTATATCTCGAAACGGAGATCCGTATTAAATTTTAAACTAAAGACCGGAATTTGCGGGCACATCGAAATTCCAAAAGTACACTACGTCCTCATAAAGAGTTAATATTTCAACAGAGCAGACTAAGAGAGCAGTAGTCACGGTGAAAGTTTTAATTTGCTTAAAGTTGTTACAACTTGGAACGGGTCCCTAGTTGGGCGCCAAATTAGGTACAGTCACAGAGTAACAGTATAAAAGTAAGAAGACGTAAGTCTACTGATAGTTTTAATTCATGCCCCTGCGGAAACTTTTTATACGTTTTTCCTGATTTCTCATGTACCGCTTTAGCGTTTTACTTTTCAACGTGGAGGTGGATCGCGAGCGAGCATTAAAATTCATGATCGGTTGTCTCTTACGTTCACGGGTTGAAATTTAATAGTCCGTTTCAAAGAGATTCAGATGATTTTGGAGTCTTTTTAAAATCTAGACTGTCTCTAGAGCAACGTTCACAGCATTGTGTTGGAATAAGTTAACAATGTACTACTGAATCGTAATACAATGACTAATTTCGCTTTTACTTCTAAAATGTTACAATATGCACGTACCTTCAAAGTTAAAGTTATTACGTCAGTTATAATTATGTTCCTGAATATTAAATACGATGTAACTCTTTTGTCTTTTCTATTAATTATAATGTAATCAATTATGTTTGTTATAAATGTGTTCTCACCGTATTTTGACTTCCTTGGACTGCCAATCTCCATGTTTATCGAAGCTGATCAGTATGGCCGCAATTTCCTGAAACAATATAAAATTGTTTAGTAAATCCATATCACAAAATAAAGTCTTGTTCTAAATATAAAATACAAGTAAAGTTATAGTTTTTTCTATCTTTGAAATGTTTTAAAAATTTCTTATATATATTATATGAACAAGTTAAAAAATTTCAAAGTTAGAGAAGTGTAAGACACAGTTTTCTTTTAAATTTATAAACACTTCGGGAGCCGGCGGCCTTATTTATGGCCTCACTGTAATCTGAGCATAGCTAAGTAGCTGCACAGGAAATCTGTTTGTCTTGCAATTTTTTAGTATATAACAGTACACAAGACGCAACATTGAAAACTTTGTGTTTTTATTCGTATACCAAAACAGTTGAACGATCATTTCCATTAATATATCTCCGCTTATTATGTTGTTGTAATCGAATTTAGCATTCTCGTTACCACACAAGTACCAAGTACAGCCTACATATGTTAAAAATACATTACACAGAAATATTACAACGTCCCGAGGTCCGTACTAACATATTTTATGTCCCAATCATACAACAGACGCGACACGTATCGCGTTATGTAATAAATGTACACTCAATATTTCTCTTTTTTGTAATTTGTCGTAAAGAATATTTTCCTATGTCATTAGGCATCATTTACAAGCGTGTGGTGCGGTGTGCGTGAAATAAAATATGTTTTTATAGAGAGAAGCAGTCGAGACCCTTATATTCAAAACGCTTGCAGACAACGATATAAATCCCATTTTAAAAATTTTAAATATTCAATACCTCAATGAAATCCACACGAATACATTTATAAATCAAACATCGCTTTAAAGCCGCTTTAAAATTCTTAAGCAACAAGTAAGTATGGCATTCAGTAGGTTCAATTTATGATACTTTTGAACAATATTAATTAAAATTATCAAATGCTTTTATTACAGCTTACACGCTCATAATTACTAAAGAGGGTAAGAATCGCTCAAATTTCCCTAAGCAGCACCCTAAAAAATATATCACAGATTTGGAAGCGTTTACATTAATAGAGACAGCGATTAAGTTGTTATGACATAATAAAATTTAAACATTCCTTATTCAAACAAATACAGTATTTTATTTGAATTTTAAAGGAAGTGAAATTGTAATAAATTAATAATAATCGCCATATCTCATCAGTGGAAACGATCCCGAAGTCGCTGGTCCGATATTATTGCTACTCAGCGCCCTTCATAACACTAATGACGCCATAAATAGTGACGTCACGACCGCTATGTCGCGATAATGGTACGTTTCATAAACATTTGAGGGAACAAACTCACCAGGGCCATGTTTAGGCGATTAATATAAATTAATAACAACAATTTCACATTAATATTTCATTACATCACTTATCCCAACGACATATCCTTGGATGTATGAAAAACTTTCTATATTTACATCCCCAGGACGTCGAGATGAAACCTGTTATGTATAATATCTGAGTATTACTAGCGTTATACTTCAAGTGAATACTCTGCATATATACTTATCATTATATATAAAAGAAAGTCGTGTTAGTTACATTATTTATGACTCAAGAACGGCTGTAGGGGTTTGGCTGAAAATTGGTGGAAAGATTGCTTAGAAAAAGGGAAAGGACATAGGATACTTTTCATCCGATTGAAGAAAAAATTTATCAAATCCAAAATCTTCTTATCTACTGTGTTTAAGGAGGAATATAGTTCGGTCAGCTATACATTTCTAATTCCGACACTAACGCTGACGAAGTCGCGGACGAAAACTAGTATATTAAAGAAACAACGTACTCATATGATTGCATATTTTCTTCAGTTATTTATTTCCCATATTAACATTTAAGTAGCCATTAATCGATAAACTATAAAGCTATATTTGATTCATGTCGTTACTAATTCATCACGTGGATATGCTAAGTAAACGAGGTGGCTGTTAACAAAGATCAAAGTGAGTAATCAGAAAAGTAATTAGTGAGTGATATTACCTAGAACCCAGGCGTCGGTTGAGAATTAAGTAAGTTTTAGGTAATGTTCGGTGCGTTCAAATACTTGACTTAGAACATTTGATTCATGATAATGAATAGTAGTGAGTGGTTAAATTATTTTTGGTAATATATGTAGTTATTATTATAATGTAACAAACACTCTTATATTTTTAACATCTCAATGACGACACACCAATTAAATTATGCTAAAATTGAACTCATTTTTAAATCGAATTCTCATATATATGATTATTTAAGAGAATTTTCAAATGCTATACACGAATTCTGTCCTTATAGCACTTTTATTGGGGTCAGAGAATTTTATATCTACTGTTATGGCAGGGTCTATACATAAAACCGTCTGTAAAATGACCTTAAAACAATTAAATATTGATATAATTAGAATGAAAAGGGTGCAAGTTGTTTAATTTGTTTGTTAGAAACTTGAAAATTGGTTGCAATTATTCTATACTTGATAAGTTTTTTGGTAAACACTATGAAGGTATTTGAAAACTACTTTTATTTGATAAAGAGGTTATTTATCATTTATATACATTTGATATCATTATTCTGACTTGGTTTTAATAGAACTTTGTTGATATTTTGTATCTGAGTAACATTCATCTTGGAAATCTTTACAAAATATCAAAGCGAAATTTGTTACTTTTTCATTGTTATGTCTGAAAGGGATTACTATACAAATGACTATTGTCAAATAGATCAAATTTATTTAATGACAGAAAATGCAGGTTAATTTTTAAGGAAAAGGTTAGGTATTTCTTTTAAAATATAAAAAATAATAATTTAAAATAATAATAATTTAAAAATAATAATGATTTTTATCCAGCAGAAAACAAGTTCAAATAAAAGCCCCACAAAATAAAGATTCACTTTATTTAAAGAAACATTATAAGAATAAATTTTATAAATGAAGTCTATTTTTCTAAATGGAAGCCACAAAAAATAGCAAAATTGATAAACAAAATGTCCAATCACTATATAAAACAATTCCAGCCCAAGCCATTTCGTAGCGATAACAGGAGACCGCTTCCGCTCTGCAAAAAGCTTAGGCTTCGCTGATAGCTGAATCTTCATTCCTATTGCCTACTTCAAGGTGAATTGTAGCCCACGGCCTCATAAACAGCCAGCCAAGGTTCCTTGCTAGATAAGTTTTTATAAGACGTTCTTATATTTTACACTATTTATGGAAACAGAGGAATATTTTTATTTTTTAATAGTAGAACCTAAACCTAAAACTTTGCTATGGTTATGACCGTTTACTTAGCACGGAAAGGCACTTTTTTCCATATAGTCATGTAATTACGTAACTTATAAGTTTTAGGTAAAATTGGATTTCGTGACAAGGAAGCGAAAGAGGATTTAAAAGTACAAAAAATGAGTATGAAAACCAGTTCAATATTTAAATATATTTGAGAGGTATAATAAGGAAGAATTATAGAGATTTAAGCAAAAAAACTGATTTTGTTACAGGAGCTGACAGGGACTTTTGTCACACGCAAGTTTGTTTCAGAATACATTACAGTCAACGAAACCGCGATTAACGGTTGGTTGCTAAATTTATTGCAAAGCCACTTTTTTCCAGTCAACGATAAAGGTGGAAACGGTGGAATTTAACAATAACAATGTACCAGAAAAAGACCAAATGTATACACATTAATCATTCGTCTATCACACATAAACGACGTTCCATACAATGAACGGTCCCAATCTGCTGTCGCTCCGAATAATTCCTCCGAATGTTTCTCACACAGTGTATTATATGAATGATTTCCATTACACTCTAAATAACCCAAAAGCTCAACAATGCGAATTGCAAACGGGTCACATCGATCGTTGGTAATCGAGTGCGGGTCCCGCCTAGACTTCTGTAATATCCTCTACATCACTGTCTGGGAACTTGATTTACGACTATAGCCCCTTCCACTCTAATAACAAGGCCCAATATTGCTGAATCATTTCCTTGATATTCGAGATTTTTATTCAGCCATATGCATGTGAAGATTAATGTATTGTTGGTTCCGAATGTAATAAAAGTGTATTGTTTTAAAGGTAATTAAATTTTTGGTTCACTGTTGACTGTAGTGGTGAATTTGACGGACGCCGTTTAAAGTGTTCAAAACATCATTAGCAAATAATTCACTCTATTTCATGTTAAATCCTTAATAATTTCGAATTATTGTAATTACTATCACTAAATAAACGCGTTGCGGTTTAAATTAATAGCGGTATATCAATGCATGTCTATGTATCTAGCTAATTGAAATTATGTTTGAATGAAATACAACATTATACATATAATAATATTTGCATATAAAAAAACCATTAAGAAAGATATGAGAGTAATCAAAACATAGTTATAATAGCTGAAGATCTATTCAAAAAAGCAATTAAAAGTTCGTTTAAACAATTCCTACACATTAATGTCTAAAGACAAAAGACGGAGTAACAAAACGTAGACCACGAGACCTGGCCATTGAAGTCACTTCGGTATTGTGAAAAAGAAATAATAACAGTACGGACAATGAAAATCATTCTGTAATTTAAACATAACCGAGCTTTATACGAATCAAATTAATCATACGAAATACTCAAAACTATTTGCATATATAAAACGTATTTATTATGGATATCTATAGATATACTGTGATTTAGATATATTTAATTAGGTAGTTATTAGATAAACATTACTTTAAAGGCTAAAGGCGATTAATATTTTATTAAGAATTTTGTTTATCATAGGAAGCAAATTTTCCCAAAAGATTTTCTGCTAAACCCATAAAATTATTGTTATAAAACATACAAAAATAATATCTTAGTCTAATCGGCCAATAGTGCTCGATTGTATTGCAAACGTACACACTTTGTAGTTTTATTACAAGGAAATAATGTAATTCACGAATGATTATTCGAGTATAAATAAATATTTTTAAAAATAGATCAACCAAATTTACCAATAATATTAAGTGAGAAAGAAAATCTTCTTAACACGTAGCTAAAATACCTTCA